CCCAGGAGGCCCCGAACCACCGGTGGGGGGAGGAGGGCGAAGGAACGAAGCGGCAGAAAAGTTCCTCCGGCAGCCGCTCACGTCTCGGCAGGAAGGAGTTTCCAGCAGGCGCAGCCCTTTGGGAAGGAAGGAAGTTGAGATCTGCACTTCTTCCCTCCCTGCGGTTTGGGGGCTGGTATTCGAGTCGCTGTGGTGGGAGTCAGGCCCTGGGCACCAAAGTGTCCTTGTTTCCACACTTCTCCCTCGAGGTGTGCATGGAGCAAGCCAACCCGCCTGCCCGCTGTAGTATCAGTGGGCCCACTGCGGTGGGAGTCCCCTGATGCTCAGCGTTCCCCTAACGAACAGTAAGGAAGGCAGAAGCTCAGCACCTTGTTGCTAAAAGGGATCTTGAACTTGATTGTCTCACATATGCTTCCAGAATGGATCTGAATCATGATGTCTTTATACACAGGCACACAGTAACATACTGGGAAGAGAAAAGCATAGTAGTAAAGGGAAAGAAGCAAATTTGTTAGCAAAATATATTTAGACCTGCGTTCCCTAGCCACTAAGATGAAAATAAAGACCTCTGTAGCATATTTTGTATTATCTAGGAGACAGGTTCCAAAGAATCAGACTCGTCCCTGCCACTACATTCTAAAAGGAGTTCATGGGACCTGTTCTAAGGAGTATTAAACTGGATGGTATCTTGAACAATGATTGTACAGTACAAGCTCTATGTGTCGGTGTTTTTTTAGCAGAGAACTTAATAAAAGCATTGTACTGAAGTGTGCTATTGTAGGAGGTGTGTTAACCCGACCCAAGCACAGGATCTGACTGTGTGTAAAGGTTTTTCATTGAGGCATTTGTATAGCCCATTCTTCACATGGTCATCTTCTAAATATTTCCCTGACCCTGCTACGGCTGAATCACGTTTTCAGATTTTTATCTAGGTATCTGGCCCTTGGATTAGTGTTTCTAAGGTTTAACTTTTGCATTTACATCTTTGAGCTAGCTGGAAATTTAGTGTAAGAAATAATCCAAGTTTCCCTCCATCCCAACAGTATCAATAAATAGCACTGATAGAGAACTGAAATAAAGTTACCAATTTGGTGTCTGATTCAAGAGGTTTTGAAACACGTAATCAACACTACAATCATGGCAGGAACATTCTCATGGTCCGTCAGAGTTCCCTCATGTAGCCAGTCCCTCTTCCCACTTTTGCCCCTACTTCCACGACCGCCTGGTCCGCTCCGTGCTGGGGCCAGGGAGCCAGGCCAGTGGGAACCGGAGACCACAGGGAGAGCTGTCGGTGAGGCTGGGCACCAGAGCAGGACGGAAACCTGCAGCCAGGCTCAGGCTGGCTCTTCACAGGTGTCCACAGGTTGTGTCTAGAATGCTGTTAAGTGGCCCACGGAGACCAGTCGGTCTATTTCTCTACCTGGAGGCAGGTCTTGCCGATTTCAGCACAATTAAAGGTGCCTGTTTCTTGAGCCCGTGAAGGTACTGGAGGAATCCAGGAGGCAGGAGCTTGCTTCCACGACCTTGAAGAAGATTGCAACCGTAGGCAGGTCACATACCTCTTGGGGCCTTTCTCCATTTCTAAAATGGACTTCCTCCCGGGGGTGAGGTGTCAACTCACCCCCAGACTCACATGACCGTGACCCCCCAGTCCCATGAGGCCACCACCGGGACACCTAAGCGGAGCCAGTAGCTTCAGGGCAGGAAGTAGGCGGGTCAGTTGTGCACAGCTGTTCAGGGCGGGTCAGGGCCTGGCCGAGGTTGGAGGCTTCCTGTGGAGCCCCGAGGCCCACTGGCCCCTGCTGCAGCCAGCACCCTCCTACCCACCCCGGCTCCCGGAAACAGCCTGTGTGCGGCAGCCTGGAAGCAGCACTTGAGGGCACGCTGGTTTCCACACCTGAATTAACCTCCTGTAAGCGCTCCAGGGAGAGGCGGCCAGCACCCAGCACTTTCACTGACTGGGAGTGAGACCCATTATAATTTGTCCCGTTTTTGCGTGTTTGAGCACCAGTTCCACAACTCCCTCCCCCCGGCAGGAAGGACAGCAAATGGCCCCATTCAAAGGTGAGATCACGAGGACTCGGTGTCACAAGGTGTGCCTGAGGCCTCCGAGTGGGGAGGGGGCAGAGCTGGGACCAGACTGGGTCTGTGGTCCAAGCTCCTGTCACTTTACCTGGTGACCCTCTGTCTTCATCCGGGGGCTTGAACTAGCAAACCTGGGAACGAATTCAGTTTATAGTGTAACTCACAGATAAACAAACGGAAACAAAAGTAACCTTCCTGTTGCACACACTATTTCATTTAAAAACACTGGTCATGGCCCCCTGAGCCGATTTCATGATTCTCTGAAAGGCCGAGGCCACAGTGGGAAAACATCTCTGTTCTGGAACACTCGGAAGATAGGGTGCACTCACTCACGCAGCTCTCTGAGAAACCTGGACTTTAAAATTCCGGTCCTGGTCTCCTTTGCAGTGGACTCTGCTCGCTCGCACGCGTCACTGGAGGGCGAGGCACGGAACACGGCCAGCGTCCGGCCCTTGATGCCCTCACCTGAAAGGAGCCCGCTCCGCCGCCGGGTTCTGGCTCCCACGGCGCAGTGGCTCGGTGCTGCCTGTTAACGTGGCATTTGGCGGCTGACTTTCTGTGCCGCTGGTTGGTTCTGTCGCGCCCGCTATGCCTCACGGCTCCAGAGGAGGAAAGGCACCGGGTTTGCAGCCACCGCTGCACATTATGTACACAGGGCCGCCTCCTCGGCCGGAGCTTTGGGACCGGTGTCTTAGTCTCTCCATCTGTGAAATGGGGGTGATAGCAGCACCCCTCCACGGGGTGTCATGAAGATTAAATAAATCAGGTGACACACGTGAGACATGTAGAGCACCTGGCACGGGGCAGGAACGCAGCACCTGTGGGTCAGCATGCCTGCTCGGGGGCCGGCGGGCAGAGACGGGCTCCCAGGGGGTCCCCAGACCCCGCGCTGTGTCCTGGTCACGTGTGCTGCCGGCACCTCCCAGGAGCAGAGCGCTGCCTGATCTGATCTGCCTTGTCTGTCGTTTTTGCGTGTGAATCCCACTGAACAAGCAAGGGCCCCTTGAGATCTAACGTTCCAGGTGACAGAAATGCAGGAGGAAACTGTGCAGTTTCGTCTGTTGCACTCTTTTGGGTACTGCTTGAGGTGGGCTGTTAAACCTGGAGAACCTGTCAGAGATTGTATCAGAACGTGGCCTGACCTGTGCATCACACACAGCACGTTATCAGGGGAGCTTCAGATCTAACCCTACGCAGGAGCTAGTTCCTTTCTGCATGCCGCTGAGTCCCTGCACAGACTTTTGTCGTCAGCCTTGTCGTTATAATCAATGTCACTCACCCATCAATACAATCCCTATGTTCTATAAATGTAAATAAAGGATGTCTGTGTGAGCTTGTCTTTGAGGTAGTCAGCAGTCAAAGGCCAGTACCCACAAGGAACATCAAGGAAGGGGTTCCGGCTCTAATTCTTTAGCAACAAGGGTGAAATTCAAACGCCCTAAGATCTGAAACACTCTGGCATCCTGGCCCCGGATCTGAGCTCCAGGACCCTTTGCAGGAATGTGGGCCAGATGAATGACACGCCCGGGGGACCAGCCGTGGCTGGTGGCTGTCCCTCCGCCTGCCATCGGCGTCTTGACGGACTGGGCCCTGAGCCGGGGCAGGCCGTCTGCCTGCAGCCGCTGTGACTTTGCCCGTCGCCTGGAAGCCCCTGGAAGCTCCTGCTACCGCCTCCTAGGATGGGGCTGCCTCGCTGGTGCGACTCTGGGTCCCTCGGACACCCGGACACCCGAACACCCGGCTCCGACTGCGGAGCACTGCCCTGGGCTGGCCCAGCACGGCCCCGGCCCCTGTTGCCGGCCCAGGGTGCGCGCCCACCGTCTTCCGGGCTCATCCGACGCAGGGCTGGCTTGTCCCGGGCAGGCGAGGGCAGGGTCAGAAAAGGGTTAAGCCTTTGTTTTACTGCCTGTGAAATGAACTGGTTACACTATTTCAGTGGCTTTTCAACTTTCTTTCTTAAAGCAGAACACTAAAACAATAATCAATAATAACAATGAAAGATCTCAGAGAACGTTTGGTGTAGAATCCCGGCCCATGAAACGGGAGGCACGGCTTCTCCGAAGGGGCGTGGAGGACACGCCAGGCCAGTCCCTCCTGCGTCACAGCACCTCCCCCTCCCCAGTTCCCAAGATGGAAATTCTAGGCCTCTGAAGAACAGTTTTAAAAACTATTTTTAAAAAATCTTTCCCAATTAACATTGAACACTATTTTCAACTGTACGATGAAGAGGCTGGAGACACACTGGAAATCAGCCTCCTGCTGAAGGAAACGGGGGGGGGGGGTCTAAATCCCCCCTAAGTGTGAAGGATGGGTGTGCACAACGTGGAAAGACAGAGCCGTGACCCAGCGAGTGGCGTGACCTGGAGGACATCCGGAACCTTTCTGGGCCTCGGTTTCCTCACTTGTAAACCAAAGGTGCCAAACTGCCTCACCTCCTAGGATTTTTTCCAAGTAAAATACCCGTGTGTGTATTTCCATGATCCCGTGAGCTGTCTTTTCTGGGAACTGGTGGGAATGGAAGAGACCCCCACGCAGCCTGGGGGGTGGGGGAGGGAACCGCAGCTGGCCCGGGCCAGGGAGCCCCATGTCGGCAGCGAGGGAGGCGGCCAGCGCGGCGCCGGGAGGGCGGAAAGCGCCGAGAAGCTGCCGGCTGAGGCCACACGACTCCCTGGTGTGCAGGGCTGCCACGCGGCCTCAGGGACAGGCGCCTGGGATCTGCAGACTCAGGTCCAGCAATCCCATGGCCCTCAGGAAGCCGGGCGAGGCCGGGGGAGAAACAACCAACCGGTCACACGTCCCCTCTGACGAGTGTCGGCTGAGTGAGGAGCCCCTTCCCCGACAACGCACGACCTGCCCGGTCAGCCCTCGGCTCCGAACAGCGGGCACCACTGAGAGAGTCCGATCACTACGAGAACTTTCCATCTGTGTGTTCTTCTCACAGTGTGACGTTTAATCGCTCTTATTCCAAAGCACAGCGCGGAAATGAGAATTAAGAAAATATAACTTTTTTTTTCGTGAAAAATGTTAAGGACCGCTAAACCTATAACCAACATCCATGTTCAAAAGAGTGACCCTTGCAGGGAGTGTCCCGGGGGTGCAGAGAGGACTCGGAGGGACCCGAACACCCCGGATGAACAGGAACATTTGATGTTTGGGGCTCAGTGTCTTACGCGTGAGTTTCACAGAGCTTCCGCCCACCCTCTCAGGTGGGGACCCACATGTTCCCGTGTGTGTCCGGGGCTTTGGTGTAGGGAATGTTCCAAATCCACGGCCGATCTGGAAGAAAAAAAACACACTGCGTATGTATAACATTTGTCTGGACAGGGCTGCAGAGAATTCACTCACCAGACGGCATCCGTGCACCCGTGTGCTGCTGGAGTGTGCAGACTGTGGAGAACCCTCCTGGAACCGACCCCAGAAACACCACGCTTCCGGTGAAGGTCCGGGCTGGGACGGGGCGCGTGAATGCAGACGCGGCGAGCACAAACCTGGGGGCGGGCGCTCTGCCCTGCCACCTACACGGACGAGCCGCCTGTGGAAGCCTCAGTTTCCCTACCAGTGCCTACCTCATGCGGCTGTCCTGATGATTAAATGAGATAAACCCGTGTGGTGTGCAAGACAGGGTGTCCGGCAGAGGGAGCCGAACAAAGCACCTAAACCCTGTTCCAATGCCGCCTTGGCCCTTCCCTGACGCTGAGGGGGCGTTTGGAATCGGGCCCCAGGCCCCCCACCTGTGAGGTGGGGACCGAGCTCACTGGCCGCCTTCGCCCTTCCCTTACGCTGGGGGGATGTTTGGAATCGGGCCCCAGGCCCCCCACCTGTGAGGTGGGGACCGAGCTCACTGGCTGCCTCCCGAGATCACTGGGAAGCACAGATGAGGGAACACCTGTGACAAGTCCTGGCGTGTCTGGATGCTCAGTAAATAGGGACCTTTCTCCCTTCCTTTTAACTGGTGTTTCATAAATTGAACAAATCCGAACAAATCACGTTGAACACGCACCGCTACCTGGAGTCAGACCACTTAGGGAGAACCGTGGGGATACGGGCAGGGAGTAAACGCATTGCGGGGACTACAGACAAACCCCCGTGGCTGTCCTGGTGTGTGTGCGAGAGAGAGCAACTCTGAGTGCCGGCGGTGAATGGGCCACCATGCACAGGTCTGTGGGGAGGGACTGGCCCCCTTCAGCCCGCGTGGCCCTGTCGGCTGCCCTGGGGAGGCCTGCTCCCCTCTCTGGGGAGAGGCGGGCTGCGGCTCGGGGCGCAGCGCAGGGATGCCCAGCCAACGGCGGCCCCTGCTGCTCCCTCCTCCCAGCCTTGCTGTGTGGAGTCACCACGGAGCCAGCATTAAAACAGCAGGAAAACGGTAACAGAAAAAGTTACAATAAAAAAAGAGAAAAGGAAAAGAATGCCAAAGATGGCAACAAGTTATCAGAACCCTGGTCTCTTGCCTTTGGCCTTCCGATGGTTTAAGAGCACGAAACCCACGTGTTTTGTTAATGAACGAGCTTGTGAGAGAGCCCCGAATTTGGGCGGAGTTTCCCAAAAGGTCAGGGACTGGTGGGGCTGGGGACTTGACTCCCACGACACTCGCTGGCCTTAGAAAGCACCAGCTCTCTCCCACTGGGGGCACCATCTTCCGTGGCTGGACCTCTCTGCCTCCCCCCACCTTCTCCTGCAGACTGCTGCTGGCTAACCCAGTCTGCGTCCTCCCCACGGCAGAGGACGCCCCGGTTCCTGCTGCGTGAGCAGTTATCGGAGAGACTCTTCACCAGTGCGGGGTTTGAGATGCAAACGTTGGCCAGTCAGCCGGTAACTTAAAGGCCACCCCTGCACTTACTTCCTCCTCTCCTTTGACGTCAGCCAGCGCTGACCAGCAGGCCTGGACACCACCCTGTTGGTAAAACCCCGGCGCTCTGCCCTGTGGGGGAGCAGTAAGGGTCTGCGTCTACAGGCAAGCCGTCTCCCGTGCTGGTGCGGGGCCCTCCACTGCCCTGGGGAGGAGCCACATAAAGGCCAACAGGAAAGGTGAGAAGAGGCTGGTTGTGATCTGTCGTCTTTCTACCCGTCACTACCGGAAATCGGCATTAACAGCCTAGAGGAAGGCCTGTTTTAAGCAATCTGTGTAGACTGTCCCACAGAGAATTTGACTCATACAGTGACGCATGCATCCGGACTGTGTGTTGAGAGCTGGTTAGACATGAGGTGCTTTGCTGCTGGACAAGCTGAGGGCCCCCCAGCGTCTCCAGGCCAGTGGGGCGGACAGAGCAGCAAGCGGGCCGTGGTGCGGGGATTCTCAACTCCACCGCACGTTACAGTTCCCTGACCGGGGTCGTGTGGGCATCACTCACCTCCCGCCCCCAGGAAGCTCGTTGCATCCCCTTCCCTGGGCTGGGGCCTGGGGACGTGCATTCTATCAGTTCAGAAGGTGATCCTGACACAATCAGAGGGTGGGATCCAGGGCCAGAGGGGATGGAAGGCTGTCTTTTTTTTCTGGATACGGTGGGAGGATTGAAAACTGAAGCATGACAGGATGCGATGTGCAGGTGGGGGCGGGGGGTGTGCAGAGGGCGGAGGCCAGAGCCAGGGAGACGAGCGAGCAGCACAGGGCAGGCGAGACAGGGCGAGGCCCACGTCACGGACACGGCAGGGGGCTGGGCACGAGGGGGCAGCCTGCGGGGTTCCTCTCCGTGTGGACCCCCCTCTCACCTCTCCCCGAGCCCAGGGACCGTGTGTTGTGTGTGTCTGACGTATCTTTGGGCGCCCCAGACTTGGCCCCCACTGTGGGGAGGGGCCTCGGTGGAAGGGCAACGGGGGCGTGGATGCTGGACGTGGGAGAACCGGAAGCCCTGGCTGGGTGAGCCCGAGTGCTCAGGGTTAGGGTTCCTCGTCTGTAGCACCCGTGTCGTGGCGGAGTGAGCGTTCAATGCCTTAATTCATGTCACGTGCTCAACGGCAGCTCCTGGCCCGTGGTAAGCACTGAAAGAGTACCAGCTGCTATTATGATTATTACTGTAATTATGGCCACCCCCACTCACAGTGGGTGAGGACCGCCATCACGCTATATGCTGTGTACGCCCTGACAGGATTTTTAACAACCAGACAAACCCAAGTCAAGTCCAGAAATCCTGTTCTATTCAGCTGGGTAACACACCTTCTCTGCTCTTCTAAGAAGCAGCTCGTGGGGTGAAGGACTCGGGACTCTCTGTCCCAGTGACCCCCAGGCTCCAGCACCCATGTGTACACTCCCACTGTCCTCTGCAGGGGACCCTGATACACTACTTCCAGAAGCCGCCGCCTCACCTCAGCAGTCACCCCTCATCTTCCCTTACATCGGGCACAAGCAGACTGGGCGTGGTGTGTGACCCCAAAGAGACGAACCAACCACCCTAAGATTTCTGATGTTACTTCACTTGAGACTACTCTGGCATCAAGGGCCATACGAAAGACTCGACAGACTTACACATGAAGGAAATTCCCAAGACAGTTTACACGGGGTTACCGACTACGCAGAATTGCAATCGTGTGACTTGCAGCATGAAGAACAATGCAAACGCAGCCGCTGCATGCAGGACGGAGCCGGAGCTGCCGGCCGGGAGGCATGGCCCTGCACGTCTCACTCCTCGAAACCCCGGAGTGTTAGAGCTGGGCCGAAGGGCCTCGAGCTGGGCCGCAGCAGCACCACACCGCCGACAAGCTCATCCGTGTGCCCGGCTAACGGGGAGCAGGCGTTACGAGGAGCGGACGGACAACGACAGACGTTCTTTGGAATTAGCATCACTGTGATCACCGTGTCAGCTCGCTCGCCCCAGCAGAAACCCCTCCTTTGGCGTATCAACACCCACAGGAACGGCTTCCTTCTACGGAGGCAGTTACCCCACCCCCGCCCAGCATCCGTTCTCGTAAAACTCCTCATGTTTGCCTCCCAATTGGGGGGACACGCTCCGGATTCCTCCCTGAACCGGCACTTCCAGAACAGCCCCTCTCCTGGATCTCAAGTACAGTCCTCTTTTTTAAAACTTGGATTACTCTAGATTTCCTTAGACTTTCTGATTCTAAAGTCAATTTAAAGGCAAAACTGGGAGTTTAGTTTCAACCTCTGTGCAATGAAACAAAAATGGATCTTGTTAAAGGAAATGATCAGAAGCACATCTAAAAACTTTTTTGGCTGTCTCATTTTTTTTTAAAAGTCTCATTTCTAAAGATCTTCCAAAAACATGTCCTTAAAAAAATTAAATGAAACATATCAACGACGATTTTAAGTAACTTACCTGGTTGTATACACTTTGGATTAGAAAATTAAATCAAATTTCTGTTTCCCTCACAAAAATACGCATCCGGACTCTACTACTTAACAATAATTCTAGATGGAAGTTTATTCCCATACTACCTAAATGCAAGAATTTATTTAAAACTACACAGTAAGTGCCCCTGGCTGGTGTAGCTCAGTGGATTGAGCGCGGGCTGCGAACCAAAGCATCGCAGGTTTGATTCCCAGTCGGGGCACATGCCTGGGTTGCGGGCCACGGCCCCCAGCAATCACACATTGATGTTTCTCTCTCTCTCTCTTTCTCCCCCCCTTCCCTCTCTGAAAATAAATAAATAAAATCTTTTAAAAATTACACAGTAAGGGAAATGGTTAAACCCTTTGGGAACAGGGGGGCAGAAAAGTTAGCCACCCCAAAATATGCCTTCTGGGGTATTGATTTTAAATCAATATTGATTGGTTTAAATCATTATTGATTGGTTATTTCTAAAAAAAACAAATGATTCAGGGAAAACCTTTGACCTTCCCCCAAACTGCCTACAAGGATTCAGACAGAGGACCTGCTCCAGAAAGGGAGGAGACAGCACAGGTAACTGTAGTTTACCATGAACCAATGTGACAGCGAGGAACTCAGCAAGGCCCACTGACCGACGTCTCGTTGCTGAAGAAGCCCAGAGGTTTGCTCCATCTCCGTGTGAACTGCCTTTTCTCCCTTGAAGTCCCGAACCACCCCCCTCCTCCTTAGCTCCAGACGGAGTCCAGGCCTCAACTTCCCGGTCCGTCCTTGGGTCTCTCTCCTCACAGAGCCCCCTTACGTACCTACGTAACTAAATTTCAGTATCTCCTCCTGTTAACCTGTCTTATGTCATTTTAGCCATTCGACCAGCCAGAAGAACTAGGAGGGAAAAGGGGAAAATTTCCACTCCCCAGGACTGGGGTTATGTAAGAGAATGCCTTTATTTTTAGGAAATATATATTGAAGTATTTAGAGAAAAAGGGACATGCTGTTTGCAACTTTCTCTCAAATGCATCAGAAAAGAAGTTAACGAGAGAAGAGGGGAGGAACTGTACAAATGTGATAAAATATTAACATTCGGGGGACCTGGGTGAGGAGTATAGGGGAAATCTTTGTACTTGTAACTTTTTGTATATCTGAAATTATGGAAAAAACTCGAAAGAAAATACTATATAGACACAACGCGTATTTAAAAAAAAGAAGCAACAGATCACTCAATACATAAAATACAGCTGAAACCCTGTGAGGTTCTGGATGTTTGATCACTTCTTCGACTTGGCACACAACTTGCTCTTTAAACCCAAGTAAGACAGGCCTTCCTTACCCTCACCTCGGCTTTCTCAGCGGTGTGTCAGACAGTAAGGAGAATACAAGGGGAACAGGGAGTGTACAGCAGACGTGCCTTGGGAGAGAACTCGGGAGGATCACCCACTCACCTCTCTCTCCCTCCAGGCTTAGGGCTGCAGAGCAGGTGGGAAGTACAGGGACAACGTGTGCTAATTTTAAAATGTGAGTGATTTTGCTTTATGAAAGTTAAAAAAAAAAACCACGCAGCCCCCGTTTGTAAAATGAGTCTGGTAGAGTGTAAGTTGACAGAAGGGCAGCTGTGAACTTGACGAGGGCAAGAACTGTGTCTGCCTGACACACTCTGTGCACCAAGGCTGTGTGAACGAGCGCGCGGCAGGCGCTGCACGAGGCCAGGCGCACCTGTGGCCCAGCTCTCATTTTTGACCAGTTTCTGGGTTTCAGGATGTCGGGTGGCCTCTCGTAACGACCTGTGATCTGTTCCCGGCAGTGTATTTCTTTGCTAAGGTTTTTGTATAACCTCCTGATTTAACAAGCTCTCCTTATGTGTTGGTGGCTTGGAAATCATTTTTTCAAAAGAAGTGCTTTTCGAATCTTAGCCACTCGCTTTTCCAAATCTTGGTAAAATGCCCTTTTTAGACCACACGCCCCCCTGGAACGTCGGCTGTGTATGAAGTGGTGACACCCAAATCACTGGCACCATTCCACATGCTAATGGAGCAGCGTGGAGGGTAAAACCGTAGCGATAAAAAATAAAAGGCTCCAGTCTCTTGTATCTTTCAGAGGAAATGCATAAAAAAAAGAGAAAATCAGCTAAATAATAGAAAACATTCTTCTTGCTGGCCAAATAAAAGATTTATCATCAAGACACTACCCAGTTTAATTCTTGGGAATGCTTTTTCTACTGGGACTTAAAGGGACCCCAGAAGCACTCGAGCAGGGGCCTTGCACACAGTGAGGTTATCCTAGGGACCCCGTCTCTAGACAGACTCTCCTTCACCAAACAGCTGCTCTTCTCGGCCCCCCACACGGACCCTCTGCAGCCCCCCGAGCACTGCCTCATTGCTGGCTCAGGACGCCCCGTCCGGCTCAGTCCCCCTTCCTGTCTCCGGACCTCCCGTGCACACGGGGTCTCGGACTCGTGTGTCTGTGGGGCGTTCCCAGACAAATGCATGGATTACGTTTGGTCACTGCCTCTCGCTGATCTGTCTCTTGTCTGTCTGATTATCAGACCAGCCACACAGATCCTCACGGCAGAGGCAGGCTTGCTTCTGCCCCACACTCGACCTTACACCTCCTGGGTGAACTCCCCTCACAGACCGCCCCGAGTGGGTGGGTGCAGTGTGAAGTCGGCCTGCACAGCCAGCCCGCCCGCCCTGTCCCCGAGACGCCAGAACCGGAACCGAAGCGGCTGTCACCGCCCTGAAGAAAGTCAGACCCTGGTGCAGCGGTTTTCAACGTGTGGCCCGGAGACCTCCCTTTGGAGAAGTGGGGGGGCTGTAAAGTTGAAATCAGTTCCACCGTCATATTAGGCCATAGCTGTCCCTTCACTTTCTCACGAGTATACAGATGCAATGTGACACACGTGACATCACATGTTGTGCTGTCACACAGAGCAGCTATGAGTATCGTTGTCTTCTATTAACCAGGACAGAAAAGAGGTTTGCAAAAAGTGTAAACAGTGCCACCTTCCATTTTTTGGAAAATAGTCTTAGAAACCTCCCACACAAACCAGAGCTCTCGGTGGTCCTCCACAATGATACCAGTGCAGAGGGGTTCCAAGACCAGCGAGTTTGGGAACTACGGCTCCAGCGGCCCCAGGCAGGGCAGCGAAGGGGCCGGTGCTTCCAGAGTGTTCCACAGGCCGGCCTGCCCCCGAGAGACCCCCGGTGTCTCCCCGCCTCACCTTTGCTCCCGTACAGCTCCGGAGGGAGGTCACAGGGCACGGGGAAGGACGCCGCCGGCTCCTGGCCGCCAGAGAAGAACCGCGGCTTCACCCGGAAGCTGTCCAGGCCCTGCAGACACACAGAAGGAATCCATGACGGCACCTCCTTTTCTGGAAGACGGGTCTCAAGGAGCGACTGGGCCTTTATGATGGCGCTCACACAAAACCCAAGTTATTTCACGGCTGTTGTCAGTGTTCGATAGGTCAAATGTATTTGCACCCCCCAATGATTCCTTCCTAAAAACGAGAGGGGGTCAAATTCCAGGAATCACATTTTAGCAGTTGGCAGAAGTTTAATCAAGACTATGAAGACGCAAGAGGAAACAGTTTAAAACACTACAGCCCATTTCAACTAACCACTATGTAGAGTTTGCAGTGAGCGTTTAGAAGACTCTATAAAAATATCTCAAAACTGTTTCAATATTGCTATAGTAACAGGCTGCTCACTCTGGTGTAAGAAGAAAGAAACGTCGCGCTCGTGTATAATGAAAGCGTCCCAATGTAACGCGACAGGAATATCAAAGTGACAAGTCCTCAAGACCCACAGAATGGAGGGTTTATTTCCAGGACTCGAGAACAGGGTGTTAACGTTGGGTCTCACTCAGGGTGCGGGCGAAGGTTCTGTCTGGAGGCTGAGGTGCTGCCCGCCGCCTCCTTCCAGCGCTGGGCCGGCCCGAGCCGGGTGAGGGCCTCACACAGCAGCCTCGCCTCCCGAGGCCTCCAGGCGTCCGTGTCGCCAGCCTGTCTCCCCTCGACCGTTGCTCTGGCTCTTCGTGTACGGGTCTGTCTCTCCTCCTCTCTGCCCGCCCACCCTTCACATCCTGAATGCCCACCTGCCGGACGGTGCCAATGTCCTAGGGACCCAAAGAGCCGGGGCCGCAGGGCTTTGCCTTGGTGACCACATCACTCAGCAGGGGAGGTGGCCGGGGACAGCCCAGGACACGCAAAGAGCTGCAGTCGTGCTGGCCGCAGGCCGTCTGAGGTCCAGCCCCTGCGCTGGTGTCCCCCCCAGCTCTGCAAACGGCTCAAGTTTGCATGCATGCGTTCAGCACGCTGCTTCCCGACGCTCCTCTGCGTCAGCACGAGTGCCGGCACTGACTGTCTAGGAGCCCCCACCAGTGTCACCGCGCCTGTCCTCAGGGGGCGCACGGTCTGGCAGGGAGACAGCACACAAATCCGTCCCAGACAGTCAAGTAACCACAGTCTGTGGTAAGTGCTGCACAGACACATGGAGGTGTGAGAAGAGAGCGTGGTGGGCCTATTCTGGATTTGGGCAGGGGGTGGCCGATGGAAGCTCCCCGAACAACTGATGTTTACACTCTGAAGGACAGGTCGGGTTTGGTCAGGTGGAGTGGGGAGGATGTTCCAGGCAGAGGGAACAGAACCTGCAAAGGCCCAGAGGTGGCCAAGAGCTTCCACGTTCCAAGCACTTAAGAAAGACGGTCTGTGGGACCCTTGGCCACCAGTTTATTAGGCCTCAATCCCCTCATTCGTTAAATGGACATTAAGAAAACACCTGGATATTATCATAGGAACGTTTCTCACTGCAGCGCTCAGCACACGTCTCAGCGAGAGCTGGTGTCCACGCGAGATGCAGCTGTAAAAGCAGGATCACAGCGCCTCCCCTGCTTCCTCGTAAGGCTTCCGCATGAGAGCAAATGCAGCAGCGTGCAGGAAAGTGCCCTGTGCATGCCAATACCTCTAGAGAGGCGTGGGGCTCTCGGAGCATCGCTGAAGACGGTGGGTAATGATGCAGTGAAGGGCGGCATGTGATCAACACCCGACACGAATTCCAGACAGGAAAGGAAGAGGTAGCCTTTCACCAGTTGCAGGGCAGGAGAGGCTTTGTAGGAAGCCCTATAGCTGGGCCCTGAAGAACGGTACACTCGTGGTAAACAGAGATGAGCGGGCAGAGCAGCGGGATGGTGCACCGGGGACCGGGAGTGAACTGATGCAGAGGAGGAGGGCTGGGGAGGGCCGGGAGGGAAGTCAGAGCGGGGCGGGAAGGGCTTTGAAGGGGAAGCAGTGTGGGCATCTGTGGTTGCATCTGGGCCCGGCCCCTGGCCAGTGACTGGCACAGAGGTGTCGGGGACACCATCTTCCTGCTGGGAAGCTCATTAGTACGGTGGATGCCTGGAGCTGCAGGGCGCCCCCACACCGCCACACCCACCTCTCACGGCCCGGCCCTGGCACCCAGCCCTGCCCAAAGCACAGGCTGGCCCCTGGGGTCTGCCTGTTCCCTTGTACTGAGTTAGCTGACCGTCACTCAGAACCCAAAGTGTCAGAGCACCCAGGTACGGAGGGTGGCCGTTACTCCGGCATGCAGGGAGGAGCTGCAGAAGGGTCCCCCGCACAGAAGTCCCGCCACAGAGGCAGACCGGCACACACAGGCACAGACTGGAGAAGGGTCGGAACTGCCGGTGCGGAGAGCTGGGAAGGGTGAGCGAAGGGTGAGGGGCACAGTGCAGGTGCCGCCCTAACAAAACCCGAGATACACAGGGGGAGATACACTGGAGGAGCGTGGGGTTGGTGCAGGCAGCAAGACACGGGGCTGAAACAGACTGAAGGAAAAACTCGTAAAACCAGGGACACGGGGTGGAGGAGGGGAGCGGGGGCCCAGCACAGGACCCCGAGGCCTCTCCTTGGCCCCACGCCTCCCCCCCCCCCCGCCCCCACTGGGCAGAGCACGGCCGGCGCCTGTTCCACAGCCCCCACCGGTGTCTCTCCTCGCAGCGCACCCCCGCCGAGTTCTGGAGCCGGGGACCTGAGGACGGCAGCATCTCTTACTTGCGTGCGTGACCTACTGGCCGTGTGCGGCTCGGCCAGGGACCTCACCTCTGCGGTCCTCGGCAGGCCCGTCTATCGGATGGCTGTGGCGCGGACACGTGACTTAGAGAGGTAACGGGCACGTGCACGTGAACAGTGACGTGAGTGCACGGGGCGGGGGGGGGGGCGTGCTCTCTGTGGGGCAACTGCTGGTCTTTCACATCCAGAGAATCACAGTTTGGGGAATGAGCAGCTGCCGCAGAGCTGCTGTGTGGCAAGGCGGGAATCGAACCCCGCCTTCCTAGCTCTTGGCCCTAAGTTCCTGCCGCGTGGTCACCGGAAGGTCTCCTTCTCACCCAGCAGGAGCCACGGCAGAGGAAAAACTCCTCGCGTGTTTAAGAGGCGACATGAGGGCAGGTGGCCAAGTCAGGACGAGCCAAATCCGGGAAACCTTGGTTCTCGACATTTTTAAAAAGAAAGAGGCCAGCGGTCGGAAGTGATGCCGACTTAATGATTATTAAATCATTTATGGGGTGTCAGGTAGAAAAGACTTCCCTCTTCTTCGCTCCTGGCTTGTCCTGTGACCCTGGAACGCACCCGGGGAAGGGCCGAGGGTCTCTGGGACGGGCCCAGACCCGACGGCTCCGTGTCGTGGTGTCGGACGACCTCACCAACGAGAAGGTCTGAGCCATCGTGTCTGACAGCAAGGAGTATGGTTTTCTTTTTTGAATGCCATTTCTGATCCAAATTCTAGGGTGTTACATCGATATAAAAAAAGCACCACTTTTCCCTTCAATCTGGATGTCAGATAATCTGAGGCTGTCTTCTAATTACCGTTATTTATGTATCACAGCGGCATCGCCACCTGGCATCTCATGCAACAGAGGCAGGCGCCCTCCCAGGCACGAGCACTTAGACGAGACATTTGTAAAACACCAGAGGAGAGGGTGGACGTGTGTCACGCAGGAGAAGTCGGCGGCTTCTCCCTCCGTCAGCCCTGGGAGGAACAGAGCTGGTTATCACTGTGACGGATGGGGTTCGGCAGCTCAGCGCAATCCCAGGGAACAGGAAACCTTCCCAATTTTCAGCTAGAGATGTAATGTTCTTTCAGCTGCACCTGAGTCGCATCCTCCGGCGGTAAAACCCTCTATATACGCTTTCCTGGGTAAAACAGTAATGGCAGCTGAACCTTCTAGAAGGGGTGCACTTAATCCAAGAGGGGCTAAGGGATAAGGAAGTGCACTACAGGCAGGTGGCTGTCTCATGCTGCCTGTAAGTCAGTATCCACTTAGTATCAGCTGCAAGTTCTTCCAGCTGGGGCCCAGGAGACGCTTCCTGGAGGACACTAAGCCAGCACGACGTCATCGTGGGTATGATGCCAGCATTCTGACTGAGGCTTAGTCTCTGCCCTCCACCTCCTGTTGCTGATCTGCCCACGTAACCTGCACCTGGTGCCCAGTGCTGGCTGAGTCCCAGGTGCTGCCACACACACTTCCCAGGTCCCCAGTGATCCCATCCTATCCCCATGTCAAGGCTGAGAAACAGGAGCCTAAAAAGCAAAGCAACAGAACCACAGCTGTTAAGCCTGCAAGCACGATCCCAGCTCCCTTCCCTGTCCTCTGCTCCTCTAGATCTGACACCCCCGAACCCTCAACCGCTGCGAGTCTGGGGAAGTTCTTTCTCTTGGTCCTCAGCATCTCTTCGCTGCGTGTGTCTACACTCTGCCTCTTTCCAAGCTGCACAGGAGCCCGAGGCAGAGCAGTAGCCCAGGCTGGCCCCTGGTGAAGCGGCGGCTGCTACCACGGGCCGACCTCACCTGCGCACTAATGAGCACTTGCCGGTGATGGAGGCCGGGGTGGGTGTGCCAGGAAGGGGTGGGAGGCACGCCGGTCCAGTTCACAGCCGACTTGGATGTCACACAAAGAAGTCCGGACATCGTCGTGTGGGCGGAGGGCAGCCACTGAAGGAAGGTTCAAAGGCCAGGGGGAGGCCACAGCTTCAGAACTGGGTTGCAGCCGAGATGGGAAGGATGGGTAGGATGGGATGACAGTGACCAGCAGCAGCAGGAAGAAAACCTCCTGATGGGGCAGATGGCCATGGCAACTGGATTTGGGTGGGGGAGGGGAAGCAGCAGGAAAGTAAGGAACAGGACGCATGGACCCTGATTGTTGGCTGAGTGGTTGTGAAGAAACACCACTCACAACAGTGCTGCCCAGCGGTGTCCTCCCGGGAAACCCTGAGTGCCCCCGGCTGACGGACGGGCCGGGCCCCAGGCAGGCCCTCAGAGGTGGCGCTGGGAACTAG